CGGTGAGGGGGGCGAGGGGCGGAGGCGCGGCGCCGGAGGATGGAGCCGGCGGGGAGGCGGCGGCTTTGTGAGGAGCGTTCCGCTGCCCGCCGGAGGAGGCCGGGAGGGGCGGCGCAGGGCCCCGCGGGTGCCCCGGAGCCGGGCGGCGCGGCGGGGCGCTCCCTGATGGAGGGGCCGGGGCCGGGCGGCTCGCGCGTGCTTCCCCATCGGGCTGCGGGCCTCACCTGAGGCCCGGGGGTGCCGACGGCGGGGGGGCGGGGGCGGCGGCGCCGGGTGCTGCGCGGCGGCCATCCCGTGCCCGTCTGCCTTTCCCTCCCGTGAGAACAATGCGGGCTCGCCGCGAGCTCTGCCCAAACGTGGGCTGTGTGCCGGGCTCCGGCCCTCGGCCCGGGTTCGGAGGCACGCGCGGGCGGCGGAGAACCTCCTGCGGACCCGCGCTCTCCGCTCCTGCCGGTCTGAGCCCTCGCGGCGTCGCTCCTGTAGAATGCGCCGCTCGGAGCCCCCGGGAGCTTCGCTTTAATGAATCGACGCTGATGTAGCAGCTTCGTTTCTGTGCGATGGCTCTAGGTGTCTGCCCGGACGATGCCTTCGCGGTTAGGGCTTCGCTGCTGCGTTTTATTTGTCGCTGCTCATAGGCCGTCAGATCTGATGTTACGAACCTGACCTCGTTCACCTGAAATGCAGTGCGATTTTAACGCGTGAGCGCAACAGCAGAGAAGTTTCAAACGGAGAAGTTTGCCGGCAGAGGAGGAGCAGTCGGTTTTGTTATCGTGCCTCTTTAATGTTTGATTTTTTTTTTTTCTCTTTTTTTCCCGGTGGTCAAAAATGGTTTTAGTGCTGGTTGAGCTCCGTCTGCAAACCGCTGGAACAATGAGGTCACCGTGTGCAGCGCTGAGTACATCCCTGCTGCTGCTGCTGCTGCTGGTGGTGTGGGCCCGCTCCTCAGTGGGCTGCAACAAGGCACTGTGCGCCAGCGATGTCAGCAAGTGCCTCATCCAGGTAGAGCTGCCTGTGCTTGTCTTTAAGTTCAGAAGCTGTCCCTTGGGAAGACCCAGTGATACAAATTAAGGCCGTTTTATCATGGAATCACAGATGGTGTTGGTTGGAAATTAAAGCCCACCCAGTCCCACCCCGTGCCATGGGCAGGGCTGTCTCCCACCAGCTCGGCTGCCTGGGGCTCCATCCAATCTGGCCTTGAGCATCTCCTTGAATGGCACTCCTTGTGACAGAGGGTTGTAAAGCTGAAAATGGCTGAAAGCCCCCTGAGAGAACAAATGCTGGTGTAGCTCCAATGTGCCTCACAACCCTGAAGTACCTCTGGCTACTAATGGGGATGAGCAAGCTCTTAAAGTGTGTGAGTTTGCCTAAAACGGGCTCTTGAGTTGTGCTTGTGAACAGTGGATGTTCAGCTTGAGCCCAGCTGCTGCTTTTGGCTCACTGCGTGCTGTCCGTAGGGCTGAAGGAGTGGCTGAGCCCCAGCTGCTCTTCCAGCAGTGGTTGGGAGCAGAGCGAGAGGTCCTTTTAGAGGAATTGTGAGCAGTTCCATTGCCTACTGATTAGTAATTGATGGGCAGTGACCTGAGCACGCTTTCTGACACCACATTGGAAAAAAGGAACCTTCCTGTGGTCAGCTCCAGCTTCCTACTGCTTCTTTGCAGGTTGGAATTGGAAAAGCAGAGAACACAAATGCTAGTAAATATCCTTCTGACTTCCTGCGCTGCCATTACTTTAAATGGAAAAAATAATTGAAAACAGTGCTGCTTCTCAGCCATTCTCTACAGAGTTGTTAAATGAGGGAGAGAGAGAAAGGCTTTTGACTTACCTTTCCAGTGACTGTGGCA